AGCATTATTTATTGTTAATGAGAACATTCAGTACTGTAATATTAAATAAAATTCTAAGATTATTAAAATCGTTGCTAATATTGCAGCCGGTTCTAAGTTAGCAGAAGCAATTAGCAAAGGAAATGATGCCATAAATAAACTAGTATTTTCCGGAGAAATAGAAGAGCTACGAGACGTTGTGGGACCACCAGATAACATGGACGATTCAGAAGAATATTTGCAAGACGACAGCGAAATAGATTATTCCAAAGTTCCCGATATCGAACTTCCTCCACCTTTACCCAGTTCCAAATTTGCACAGAATCCTGAATTGCTGAAAGCGCTGAATCGCGGTGGAAAGCGGAAATTCGATCAACTAATCGGTTGGAGCGACGGTGGAGCCAGCGACAGAACATCGAAGATTCATCAACCGGTCTTTGGCGGAGTGATGACGGAAGACTCACAATCCAGTGATACCGACTTAAGGTACACGGGAACGAAATCAAATCAGCACTCCAACGAGACTAACTCTTTCCACAGTGGACAGGACGAGGATCTCAGGAAACTTCCTCATGGTGAAAATGCTCGAAATGCGAATCGCGATGAAGATTTACGGTTTAACATCTCTAGCGGACCTGGAAGGCCCAGTTCACGTTCCGATTACGACGTAAGGAGTAATTACGCGGATAAGGACTTTAGAAGTTCGCATGGATTCCCCTTGAAGAAGTCTTTGGATAACGACATTTACGATGACAGAGATCGGGACGGTAATTCGCGGTGGGACGATGAGAAGTCGATGAATGATGGTCCCAGAAAAGGGGATGGTGGTTTTTCAGGGAACTTTGATAAACGTGATAACATGCCGCTGGCTATAGGCTCCGGCATAAGTAACAGCATACCTCATTTAGGCAACAGTATATCTCACATGTCGAGTCACCATAATATGCAAAATATTAATCCCAACATGACCCCCCCGATCCAAAGTTTAGTACCACATCCAAATATGTCTCAGCATCCTATGCAAAATAAACCGCTGCATCCTGGTATGCAAGGAATTGACGGTCCAATGCACATGATGCACCATCCTAACATGCATCCCGGTTTTGGTCCTAACGGACCACCACCCGGAAACTTTGGCCCTAACTTTAGACCGCCAAACGGTAATTTCGGGCCCAATCAACACTTTAGGCCGAGCCCGTTACCTCCATTCGGACCAAACCAAGGACCATTCGGTAATAACTTTCAAGGTTTGCCGAATTTCCGGGGGCCGAACTCAGGCCCGCCAAATTTTGACCGGCCGGGTTTTGGTCCTGGTTTCCGCGGTCAAAACCCCGGGCAGAACCCGCCAAATAATTTTAATTCGAATTTTGGTAATTTTGGAAATAAACTGGGACCTAATCGTGGTATGAACCGAGGTCCCAACGACAATAACATGGGAAGAATGGGAAGGAGCGGTTATAGTAATCGTGGTAGAGGACGTGACGGCGATCAACCACGAGGGATTCGAGGAAGAGACAATTATTGAAAAATAATTATTCGGGACGGAAGTATCTGTATGTTATGTGTACGTTAACATACTGCCGTTCGTTTTGCACGAATAATTCAATTGTTCCGTGCTGGGTTGTACAGTTGATCAATAATGAATTCTAGACCGTAGAACGGCGGTATCCCATAAAAGTATCGCGGGTGTAAAATAACGGCCCATATCAGACACGTTGCGAGCCACTTTATACTCAGTGCTAAAAAAGGAAACTCAAAAGTAGGCGTTCGAGTACAGCATACTTGGAAGAAAGTATATTTTCTTTTTCCGATGAGACTTTATTTGAGGAGATCAATGTCCTTTTTCCAGAAAAAGCGACTGATTATCCATATTATAGATGGCTAGATTTCTAAATAATGCGAGAGATGAATTCGTGTTGGATGCAAGTGAGACTTCTCTTCTCCTCGACTTGTGATACTTGCAAGTGGTGTACAAGCGTGGTGAATCTATACGAAGTCACAGAAATTGTAATATATAAAATATAATCAATGACACACTGGTATAATTCTGATTAAAAAAAAAAAAAAAGAAAAAATGGATTAAAAAAAGAAAAAAACAACTGTTCACAAGCTGCCTTGCGAAAGAATTTTTCTTGTTCCGATTTCGAGAATTGATGAGCGCGCGGGAGTAGGATAGAGAAGCATGTGAAGCATGTTGAACGTTTCATAATTGTTGCTGGTCGTCGAGAAAACTGTGAACCAGAACAGTCTACCTATCAATTATTAATAAAAATGAACTAAGATGCAGAAATTATTCCATGAAAGCTCTATCCCAGATTTAATTTATAGATATTAGACATAGATCTAGCTTAACTATATATACGAATATAGAGACATAGCTCAAATGTATGATGCATAAATATATATATATTTTTAAATTCTATCTGTAATATTTCACCGTGCATGAAATTATATTTGAAATATCTTTTTGCAATGATTCTTATAACTTAATTAGTTAATATACGTTACGTCTATTTCTTTAATGTTCCGTTCATGCTGCCATCACGTTACTTCTAACGTTCGATTTTTTTTTATTTATTTATTTAAATTTTACAATTTGTCCAGTAGGACATGTGGGTGGCTACCCCTAGCGGGGTACCATCTTCGTGTTTGTTAGGTTATATCCTTTGTGAGCTGACGTTCGATGGCTGTGATTTGGCTGTGATTTGGCTGTTATTTCTTGAAGTCGTATAAAATCAAACGCAATGGGTAAAAAAGGAAAAGTAGAAGGCAACAATTTAGGAAAGGCTTTGATTAGGGGCCGTTTCGGTTCATCGAGAAATAAAAAAGATGTTGATTTATCTATGGTAACATAATAATAACCTATTTCATAACCTTTTCATAACCTATTTGTTTTGGTACATACTAAAATGAATTAAACTATAAATATTCGATATTTTGACATTGCATTTTTAATTAGCTTCACACTGCCGAATTAAACGATGGCTACGACTGGGGACGTCTCAATCTTCAATCCGTCACGGAAGAAAATTCTTTTCAAGAATTTCTCTCTACTGCAGAGTTAGCAGGAACCGAGTTTCATGCAGAAAAATTAAACATTAAATTCGTTAATCCAAAAAATGGAATCGGATTACTCTCGAAAGATGAAAAAGCAAAGGTACTGGAGATGCAAAAAAAGAATAAAGCCCTTCTGAAAATACCTAGAAGGCCAAAATGGAATAGTTCAACTACAGCTCATGAATTGCAAAGCAAAGAGAGAGAAGAATTTTTAGAATGGAGACGTTCTCTTGCTATGTTGCAAGAAGTCGAAGAATTGATGTTAACTCCTTATGAAAAGAATTTGGAATTTTGGAGACAATTGTGGAGAGTAGTTGAGCGTAGTGATGTTATTGTACAGATAGTTGACGCAAGAAATCCACTGCTCTTTCGTTGTGAGGACCTAGAAGCATATGTTAAAGAAGTAGATTTTAAAAAAATGAATCTGATACTAATTAATAAAGCAGACTTTTTAACAGAGGAACAAAGACAAGCATGGGCAAAATATTTTACAGATATTAATTTGAGAGTTGCATTCTTTTCCGCGACATTGGCAGCTGAAAAACAAAAGATAAAAGATATAATCGAGGAAGAAGATTGTGAAAATGAACAAGGGAGTGAAGTGGAGGATGATGATAGTGATGGATCTTTGTATACTTCAGAATTTGCTTCAGAAAGCGAATATGAAAGTGCAGATGATGGTAGTAATAATACCATAACTGAAAATGGGGAAGTAAGTTCTAAGCAATCTAATGAATGTAATTTAAATGAATTGAATGATGTAATAGAGAAATTAAGTGAAAAAGATATAGAAGATAATACAAAGGTGAAGAATTCATCAGAATTATTGAGCAGAGATCAATTAGTATCATTTTTCAAAATGATTTATAAGGGTGAGACATATACGAAAGGAATCACAACAATTGGTTTGGTAGGTTATCCAAATGTAGGTAAAAGTTCCACAATAAATGCCCTATTAATGGACAAAAAGGTATCAGTGTCTGCAACACCGGGTAAAACAAAGCATTTTCAAACACTATTCTTGGATAAGGACCTACTTCTTTGTGATTGCCCTGGATTAGTAATGCCTAGTTTCGTTTGTACAAAATCAGAAATGATATTAAATGGTATATTGCCAATTGATCAAATGAGGGATCATGTACCTCCAATTACATTACTGGGTACTTTAATACCAAGGCACATTATAGAAGATCTTTATGGAATTATGATACCTCCACCATTAGAAGGAGAAGATGCTGATCGTCCTCCAACTGCAGAAGAAATTTTAAATGCTTATGCCTGTATGTAATTATGTATTAAGCATGATAGTAATGCATGATAATTTGTATAAGTTTAATAATTTATTTTATACTTTTATTTAGATAATAGAGGTTTTATGACACAGAATGGACAACCAGATAATCCACGTGCGGCGCGATATCTTCTGAAAGATTTTGTAAACGGTAAATTGTTGTATTGCGTTGCGCCCACTACAGCAGAACAAAAAACGTTTCATACATTTCCTCCGCGAAGAAGAATAATTTCGAAAAATAAGCATTTTCCACCTAGAACAGTGCGCGTGAATAAAGGGAGCAAAACTACGTCTGAAGATTTAGATAAAGTATTTTTTCAAGATAATACTTCGAATATACATGTAAAAGGAGTAATTGGAAAAATGCACGGTTTACATAGAATTAATTCAAAGTATGTAACATTATTGTATATTTATTAATTGATAAAGTCATTTTTGTATAATTATTGACAATAATTGCTCATATATAATAATAAGTAATGGAGCGTGTATACGAATTTCGTTTCGAATACTTTGGTAATTATTGTAATTATTTTTTTAGGGATGCAGGATCGATGACAGGTTCTACACAGAGTTTGTTGCTTGAAGGGAAACCGTGGAAAAAGATTAATAAACACTCAAATAAAAAGAAACGCGAAAAAACAAGAAGATTGTACGCTCATCTCGATCAACATTGATTTTACGAATATTTATATTGTATTATGAGAATTGAAGGCCTTTTCGCTATATAACAGCGGATCATATTTTATAATATACAAATCTCTGAATTTATAAGCATATCAGAGACTCATATTGATTCTATGTACTACAAATACATTCTAATAACGGCATACATACACATATAAGAATAGCTTGCTGTTGTACTTATATGCGTATATATTATAAAATTAAAATATTTTATAATTTGTATTCTTTGCTTTTTAATCTTTTCTAATCGTTCTGATACTAGCGTTTCGAAACCTGAACGAATCCAATAATCTTGCTTTTGCATATTTTGTCACGGATTAGAGATACAGTATGAATGTAACAGCAGATTTCTAGAACGATTTCCGTGGAAAGCAATATCTCATTAAACAGCAAGCGCGAATCGAATTCTTACTTGTTACGTAAAAACGGAATTCGCTTCACATAATCTGATTCAGATAATGTGGTGCTACATTTATAGTATATATAATTTAGTCTGCTTTTATAAGTTAAGTCGTTGATGAACACCAAGTTGTTGATATACAACAGGCTTCTTAATAAAAAAGTACCGTGTGTAAGATCGTTCTTGCAAACTTTGATTCAAATTCGTGAAGTAGTTCATCTATATCGTTATCTAAATCTTCACTATTGGCCAGCTGGAAAAAAACAATTTTTTAGTTAGAGAAATAATTGCAGGAGGACTTAAATATATACAAATGCATAAATTTTAATGAATTCTGAAATTACCACAGTGACTAATTCACAAATGAGGAACGATCCAACTGTAGCTTCTTCATGATTATCCTGAATATCAATATTAATCAAATGTACTGGTTGACTATCTTCCTGAGTTCTAGATTCCATACATTCGATTACTTGATCATAAACACGTTCTTCGCATGTGATTAAAATGTCAAATTTGTCCTTGGATAATTGAAATCGTTCTGGTTTCGGTTTTATTCTACGGTTTCTATCTAACATGTGCAACAAACCATTTTGTGTATAGCTAATGTTACAGTTAAGGAATTTTAGTTTCAGTTATTTCATAAACTTTATGATACTTATCAGAGATAATGCGAAAGAAATAAAAATAAAAATAAAAAGATATCTATTTTGCCTCGAAGTCAATGGACTCCTCGTACAGATTTTGTGAAAAGAAGAAAAAAAATTCATTCATTTATTTGATAGAAAGGATACTATTGCTTGTCTTTAGATAAAAGGTCATTGTAGATTTCATCGTACGAAGTTCCAAAGTCATAAATGTTTGGACGATCAGGTGCATTTCCAGGAAGCTTAACTTTATCGCCAGTTCCAAAGGATTTAACATTGAAACCTTTTTTACTGAAAAAGAACAATAAAGTAAGAATTCGTCTATTCAATATTTCATATAATTCATTGTTCGATTGCAATTAAGACTAATTACCTCAAGAAGGCATGAGCTTCCATGCTTCTATTCATATTGCTAGAACATATCACAGCTACGCTGATAGAGTTTGGCGTTGGCATTGTTTCGAATAGTTTAGCGATATAAAAAAAAAAGTCGGAGTATAAAAAAAAGCGTAATGTCACTTAACCTTAAAGATCGTTACGCTGCCTGTCACATCCGGTATATCTGTTAACGTACATAAAATTCTAGTATAGAATTGGTGGAAGTGATTTTTTGCAACGTTAAGATTACAAAAATAATTTGAATCAGTGGTCGCGGAAAATTCTGGAGAATTATACGACTAAAATGATTCTCAAGCGTTTTCTATTTATCGCCTGCTCATAGTAAAATTTGTAATGAAAACCCTATATACACTTTCTCACGTTAGGCAGGTTCATCGTTAAACAGTGACATCTGCGATTGTACGAGAAGTTCAGCCGTTGTAAGCATCGACAGTCAGTAATGCGACAGACGGTGCTGTTTGTGGTAAATGTTGAATTTTTATCGACCAATGCTCGATGACGTCATAAATAAGCTTCGAACCCGCCAGTTTGATGTGCTTCAAGGAAGTCGGCGCAAATTGAAGGTAGAATTAATCACGAAATATTCGGGTTATACGATGTTTGAAAGTTTTGTATAGCGAATTGTATACGCAGTACTTTTTTTGTACATTCTAACCTAATTTGTATACATATACTGTGTAAAGCATACAGAACGTAGTGACATTCGAGTGACTCAAGTTAGTTAACCAAAGTGTTTACACGTGTGTAGCAGATACATTCATGCAGTTTGTATACATATGAGCAACATACACGATGCTAGAAATAAATGCATACAGAGAAATGTGGAAACGTAAGATTTAGGTTAGTAATAGTTCAATATGTGTTTGCTAATTCAAGTCATTTCATGGGATTCGATTGCTATTTATTACATAAATTTGGGGAATATTTGTAGGATTTGTGTAACATTTTATTTATCGTAGAAATTTCAATATTTATATTTGTTCCGAGTGCCTTATTACAACTTTATTTCTTTCGGTATTTTACTACAGGTATATTAAAAAAATGTATCATTTTTTTGTCTGTTTTCTTTTCTGTGTATTGTATCTAATATCTAATAACATCTAATATATATATAATGTTAATTGTCAATATTATTCTAATTATCGATTACATAGATTACAAGAGCGAGTTTTAAAGACATGTAATATCATTTTTTTGAAAATAGGCTTACGAAATGTGAGGCGTCACTTGTAAGCAGCCTATCGAGAAGGAAGTGTACATGCGCGCGCGCGCTCGTGTGTGTGTGTGTGTGTATGCGCGTGTGAAGAAGAAACGAACCTCTTTCGGACATTTTTTACTATGAAACCTGTCAGAGCAGTTTCAAGACGACGATGCGGTGAGTTCAAAATCAATAAATAAAACAGTAATTCGCCGGATAAAAACGTTATCGTGTGATATATTATAATTTTATACCTACACATATGTATAAACATATTGTATAGTCTCGGTATATTTCGTTTTGACGCGTGTGCAACTGTTCTTGCTTAATATTAATTTTTACATCGATATTTCTCGAAAGCGAAATTTTTATAATTTGGAATGGAACATTTGTTTCAAACCATAAAGTCTTTTATTGAACAGGAATAATGCGAATTTTATTGTGTATTTTAATATTTTAATAGCCTATCGTTTATTCCATTTTTTAAATTTACGGCATGATAGTAATATAAGTAATAAAGAGATAAAAATCCATGGAAAAAAAATATCGAATGAATTCGTGGTTAAATCACGCAATGTTGTACGACCGCAAATTTGTTTGCAAAATCGTGAAATAACAAGCGTCGTCGGCAATGAAAATTGTGGGTTCCGGGCTGGAATTAAGGCGGAGTTGGTATCTCGATCTCGACGAGACTTTAATTTTGCGATCGACTAATCCTTCGATCCTTTTTCATTTCTAAACTCTTCTTTCAGTGAATTTTTTTTTTTATTTACCAATCACTTACAATTGGAATTCAGTTCTAAAAAGTTGAAGAATCGACAGATTCGAAAAGTTGGTAGCTTGAAAGTCTGAAAATTTAGAAATTTAGAGATCCAAGAACTTTGAAATTAAAAAATCTCAAATTTATAGGTAAAGCAATCGAGTATCGAAATATGCTAAAATTAAAAAGCTCCGATACTCTAAAATGCAAATATGTCTATAAATTTAAAGAACCAAAAATTCGAGTATTTAAATTAAAAATTTCAAGGATTCTGAATCTTTCAAACGTTTAAGCGTCGAAACGTTGCATGCACTTGTTGAATGTTCAAATCGTCGTATTTTAAGCTATTCAATGACGATTTGATTGAGAAATTGTCGTTTGAAAAGCGTCAATTGTTGCGACACAGAAACGATCTTCAATCTGCATTCGTCTTTAAGTTCGTTTCTTCACCGGTTAGCTCTGTTCATCCCGGCTGGTTGCTGCAACTCTTTTCGTCGTCTCGTCGTTGAGCAAACTGGTCGACGATTGTCGAAACCAATTTAGATCCGCGACTCGTCTTTTTCTATTGTCCTCAATGGATCTCGTTACCCGCATACTTTGTGCTTTTACCATGAAAGGGAATGTGTTTCTTGATCGTTCAACGTGTGACTCGAATAAAACAAATTTCGAAGAGAGACGATTACATTACACTAGTATTACCAAACCTACCAAAACGATCGATTTAACATTTCTTTTTCTTTACAAATATTCACAAATATACATACTTTTAACAATTAATTTAATTATATATTTATCGGGGTAGAGAGGCTGTCTATTTTAACGATTATGGGCTAGATATTAAATATAATTAGACTACGGATATTTATGCGATTTCATGCCAAATTTCATGCAATTTATTCTTATGAATACAACTAAAGAAACGAAATCTAGGTAGAAATCTGTTTTACCCACTAGGTTAATACTCACCCATTGGTGAATATTCTACTTTATATTGTACACGGTTTTGCGATCTAACCGAAATCAAACCGAAACTATAGGGATACATATAAAGATAGAGCGTGTGAGTGAACTGAAAAGCGATTCTATAGGAATAGAAGGTTGAACTCTACATAGAGGCCCCTTGTGTCCTTGTCTGATGACGTATGCACATTCGTACAGTAAATATGTAAGCGTAACACCGATCAATGAGCGGCGCCAGTGTGCATGCGTTAGCGGATTAGACCAGAACAGAAGGGGTCTCTATGCAGCGTTCTCTTTCTATGCCCATGTCGCATTCAGTTACACGGTAAGATATGACTCGCGTACTCTATCTTTGTATCTCTATGACCGAAATCGAACTGAAACTAAACTGAACCGAAACCGAACATGGGTAGAATATAAAACGTCGTTTCTAAATAATATAAAATCGATTATTTTAAAGTTATAAAAATATTGAATTTATGCTTTAACCTTTGTTTTCTGTTATTTGTTTTTATTCGGAGTCATCCATCGTACTACGGTTTTAAACGTCGATATGTAATTTTTACATGTTACACGGTGAATTTACTGAGACGACTGTCGATACTAAGATCTTTGGAACGTTTCGTTAAAACGAATTAATACCTCTTTATCCCCAACGGATGGTAAAAACCATCGTTAATGGATGTCGAACGAGGTACAAGATGTCCGCGTATATTGTACGTACATACTAGAAATATTATAAAGATGCCAGTCACGAATCTAAATTGAAAGAACCGCGCTATCGGAATGAGGGAATCTTGCGACGCGTGTTTAACGAGTCTGAACAGTTTCAAACAGCTATCTTTTTGCTTTAATAAAATCGCAATAAAAGGACACGAACTCCTTTCGTTTCCTTAAATTAAAACGCAAGAAGGAGAAATTCATTTTTCAATCTTGAAATACAAACGTTTCTAATTTCTACTAAAATTTAGCAGTCTCGCTCGTGGCAAATCTATGCTACTAATTATTAGACGAATAACACGTCAAACTATCGACTAAAGATACAAAAAAATGCAGTATTGTAGCATAAAAATAAAAATTTAGGACAGGTCGTAAGTTTTACGCAATTTTTATTCCGCGAATAGATAGTTGGATAGATAAAAAATTTCTATTTGCAACAGGAACTATTTATTCTTTCCATTTTCCATTATGATCCAATCATATCTTACCGCTCCATAAACTAGCATCGTAGATTAAGATGGTATTAATGTGCAACAAAACGTTGGACTAACTGTTGTTACGTACGCTCGTCTTTTAACTCAAGGTTAATGTAGAAGTAAAAAATTCGTAACCGAAGGTTGTACGATTGCGTGCGTGACACAAGAGTGATGTAATTAAACCAAAAAAAAAAGGAAAACAGGAAAAAGCAAATGCCTCGAGAGAGGAATTTCAACTTTGCTTAATTGTAAGCGAAATACCATCTTTCTTCTAATAGCCTCAACTCGCGTTGTTTCGCTTCGATCCTCTTCGATCTTCGTTATTTCGCTCTATTTTCCACCAATTATATTTAAGTACACTGTCGACCATAAATAACGGGACTTTGTTAACTCTAAATCTAGCTTCGATAAAATTGTACTAAATCTGTATAGAAATTTTCAAAGCACGATACAACCTAGTTTTCCTTGTAATACAAGCGGTCGATAAGTATCAAGTATATTCGGTAATTACAATACTCGTTTATGCAGTCGGGCACAAAAATAAAGTGGCAGATAGTGGAAGATGAAGTTCGATCGTGCTAATACTGGTGTTATATGCTTCAGTTTTGTTTATTATATATCCCTATTGTACGTAAAATATGTAGCAAACAAATTGAAATTAATACTTACTCTTTTATGTAGTTAAGCCGTTAAATCGTAGTTAACGAAACTTCGACCATACCTATTTCTACCTTACCTTTCCACTTATTTTCGTCCTCAACGGTATATGCCATCGATTACTTATCCGAATACTACACTATCATCTTTCGTATCCCTATTTTTCCCTACATTTTCTTTCTCTACATTTTTTCTATTCTAGTAGTGTACGCTACCGTGCAATCCATTAATAAATACAAGGCAGCCTTCGTTGCGCCTTATTATCGCTTCATCGAAAGGAAACAGCGTCATCTCGTTCCCGTGCATTATTACCTCGCGCACGTTGTCCGGCAACGATTCCTTCGGCTGGTTATCACGGATCCTTGTAAATTATTCCGCGTGTGTACGCAAAGACGGATGTCCTTTGACTTATGGATATTGACGAGGGACGTTCCACCGGCGTGAGCCATCTTGTCGACGTTTGACGCATGTCGTCTGCATAAAATGGTTGGCCGATCATCATCCGCGCGTTGCAGGCACCCGTTAAATTATAATCTAAATTATGGGCCAGCTCACGACTCGAATAACAATCGTTCAACAACCTTGCGCCTCTTCTTTCATTT